CCTACTTGTAACAGATGGTTGTGTGGGCTGTGATTCAAAGGTCACTGAGGGATTGTGGGAGACTGTTGTGTATGTGTGTGTGTGTGTTTGTGAAAAGATATGAAGATACAGTATGTGTGCATATGTGTGAAGTATATGCTTAATGTATATGTAAATAATGTGCCATTAGAAAGCTGCTCTACTGACTATGAGACAGGACGTTGATCCAATCTAATACATGAAACATAATATAATGAGCATTTTACTTCACTGATTTTGCTCTAAAGCTCAGAAACAGTGAAACCAGTCCTCTCCTCACAGAGTTGACCCATCACATATAACAGTCATATTGTTAAGAAGTGGTGGGCGCTGATGTTGTTCTACTGTAGGTGATGCTGTGTGAGCGAGACTGAACACTCCCAAACCTCAGACTTACACCAAGCACATCCACATAACATTTCTTGACAGTAGCCCCTAGCACCTAGCACAGTGGTCAGGCTTGGGTCACATTTGATGAGGAGTTCTACTTCCTCAGGTATGTGGTGTGCAAGTCCATCATGTTAATGCAGTTGGTGCTCTCAGTGAAAGTCTTGATTACAAGAAGAATGTCTCCATCACTTTTGCCATAACTTTCTAAGATCACAAGTCACGTACTGTATATGCTTTTACTTTCACCGCTCCACATAATGCATTCAGTTTCCGCTACAGTAAAGTACTTTGCCCTCGATTTGATGGGAAAATACTTTTAGGGAGGTTTTATGCTTGGGCTGATTGAAGAAGTGTTTCCTCGTCCAGAGGTCATTTTCCCTGAGAGCTCAGTATATTAGGTGAAGTGTGAAAGCTGTTATCTAACTTGAGTGCAGGATAGAAAGCCACTCAGTCTTATTTACTGGTAGTTGAACACAACATAAATAAATTTGTCCATCTTCATGTACAGTAGGTATTTATTAAGCCATTTACATGCTATCAGGAAGTCACCCATGGTGAAAACTCCCTTGCAAAACAATAGATACAACAAATATGAGGACGAACCCAGTGTGAAAAGGTCAAAGGAAATATTTATGGAGAACAAGGAAGGGTGACTCTCTTCTAACAGACAATTTGATGTTGGAAATTTTCAAGTACCATTGACTAATACAACCTCAGTGGAGCACTAAGAGCACTGCCAGAAATATGCTTTTCCTCAAACAAGTTCTTCAGAAAAACACAAAATACAGGGTAAAAATCCATAACGCTGAGTCTAGCTCCAGTAGCACACTCACAAGCACACTCGCTGATCATTCTCCTTGCTTTAAATCCAGTACAATGGATGTATTTGTCTTTAAAGTTTCTGCACCTACTGTGTTTTTAATTAAAAGAAAAGAAAAAGAATAAAATAAACTAATGTAACCAGCGGTGGGATCTAACAAAGCCCTGTAATCTTTACAAGTTACAGCACATTATAATTAGATTGACTAAAGTTTGAGTCATTAGTCTTTCTATAGATATAACAAACCTTTTAATTGGGTCTAAGAAATCAAATTTAGAATTCTGAACATAAAAATTCATTTACAAGTGCTCTTTTTACAGCATTCTTTGTGTAATGATAGCCAGCATGCCATTTGCTGGGGGGATTGGGGGGAGGGGATCCCCCCTTCTGGTCTATACAGTATATCTGTGTGGGTGCAAAACTTATTCCCCCTCATAGTGGTTAAAGCTACTTCATCAACAAGCTATATAAAACACCAAAATAAATAAATAGTCTATAATGTAAACAATAAAATCAGATTTGTATGATCAATATCAGTGCTTGCGTGTATGTGACAACAGAGATGACAATGCGGTCGCCTGCTTCTGATGGCCTCGATCCATGCATGGCTTTTTAAGAATATCACTCACCAAGCTCAAATACGCAGCATGAAAACCACAGCTAACGGTCCAAATGAAAAAAAAAATTAAAAGGATTCAGAGCAGCATATCATTATACTTTACATGACCCTCACAAAAAAATCCTAGAAATATTACTGTTCTCAAACAACAGGGCAACTCTCGGGCCGACTCAAACAACCCAGACTTTCAAGCTCATGCCTCGCCTGAGGCTACGGTTGGAGGCTGCACTGAGCCAGAATGCTCTGCACAATAGCGAGAGGGTCGAGAGCGGCTAACTAACTGTCAGTGCAGACAAGACAGTTCAGTGTACGGCTTCCTCGGACATTACAGATTCAGGTTGAAATAGTCAAGAGAGGCTCCATATCGACTTTGAATTCATAAAAGTATTAAATAAATGAGTAAATTAAATTAAATGAATGCTGCTTAACAGCTGCAGTTTAGAATGGAATCCTAATCCAAGGTCTGTTATGGCTCTAATCAATAACTGATTTTTGAATCAATAACTTGATACTCTCCGCAGCCAACAAGGGAGAACATTTATATTTATTAGGCCAATGTAGGGCTCTGCTGTGCAGCTGGATTGCATGTCAGTAGAGGTGGCAAAGTGTGTAAAACTGCTGTTAAAGTAGGAAATTGCTTCCATCCTGGGGCTTTACACTTGGAATCAATCACTTTCATTCGCACTGAAACCAGGTTTTATACCTGCTCTAACTGCCATCATGTCTTTCACAGTAAAATATGTAACTGCACTCGCTGTGTCTGTGCTTCTTTTTGAGCTCTTCTGATGTTGGGAATTAAGTGGAAATGCAGACAGGCGTGACTGCTGCTGGGGCTGGAACCAACACTACGAGAGGCTTGTTTGTGAGCTTGACTGGGAGTGCAGACTCTGGATACTGGGATGGTGGTGGTGGGATTTTACCTTTTCAAAACGTTTTTGTCGGCACAGGTCGGCTACTTTTTTACAATGATATCACTCTGCTGTTTGCACAGCTTTAAAAATCCGTACCATTTCCAAATCACTAATGTTGTGTGACCTTATGTGCGGCCGTCTGACTCTCCTCATGGCAGCACATTTTTACGTCTCCCACGATGTGTGTGTGGTTCCTATTTTGGCACCACACATCTGCTACTGTATGTATGCAGTTGCTGGGGTCTGATAAGATTGTCTTGGTTACTGTGGGAATTTCACTGTAATTATTAAAATCATTTTATTGCCCGGCCCTAGATCACACGCTGCCACGCTCTGCTGGTTTCAATTCAACTTGCGACTGTGGAAGCTGTGCCAGCATGCCTGCATGTGTGCCATATATTATGTATAAATGTGTCTATTCCTCACACAATCACAGCTCTGACTCAAAGCTTTAACAAACTTTGGGATTTATTTTTCCCATGATGCTACGCAACACTCGCCACAAGTGTAAAGAAGAAATGTGTTTCAGCTAGATGTTTGGATCTTTCTCCTCTCTAAACAACTAAACTATGCTCTCTGTCAGTCCTGTGTGGCTGTTCAATGCCCTGTGTGTTTCCATGTGCTTCTGTCTGTTCTGAGGAATTTTTTAACATACCCCAGTGCTTCGAACTTAAACAAAAAGCTCAGTCTCACACTAATTCACGCTATCATCATTTACCTCTTTCTGTGAGAACACAAGCCACCACCAAGCTCATTAAATCAGCAGTATGTCATTGTCTATAGAACATGCCCATAAGGAGAGTTAAAACAAATCCATATTGGTCAGAGAACTACAGGACAATCAGATGGCACAAATTCCCAGGGGTGGACCGCATGTGCTCCTGGCAAGAAGATTCACATCTTGTTATCATTCCATCCACTCCCTCGCACTGGGTTTGTCAAAAGTGATTTTTCCTGCCTGTCTTTGAAAGACATGTTCACTTTTCAATAACTGCAGGCCTCTACTGAAACTGTTGCTAACCTTGGCGAGCCATATGTGTGTGTACACATGTTGAGGGTGCAGGTCAGGGGCTTTATGTCAAGTTCTCATTAATGAACTCTGCAGCACAGTATTCTCTTCCACCCAGCAGTGAAATCACATTATGGAGCTCATCTCTGCCATCACCTGCCTCTTTACTAACGTGCTCACAGTCTCACCAGCACCTGAGGGTCGCAGAGAAAGTCTGGGTGGTTCATAGAATCAACATCACTGTCCTTTTCTCTAGTTTTTTTCCTCACTGGCATTAAATTTAGATCTTGAGTGAGTTCACATGCAGAAAAATATAATGATATACAGTGAGTGATATACAGTAGAAGCACCTGGTTCAGTGGTAGTTGTGCTGTCCTGATTGCCCACAGTGAGCTGTGTTTGTTTTTACTGTATTGATCGAAAAGGTGAGGTTCACTCACATCCACCTACACTACCTGCCGTTCATGTTATGGAAAGACAACATCGACCTCTGCTTCAACCTGGCTTTCTTCATATTGAGTGAAGTTGTACAGTTTTGGCAGCTTTCCAAACAAAGCAGGGTATGTTTGGTAATAAGCATCAGATTTTACATGTTTATTTCATTTATACTGTGACTCCAATCAGTGTGTGCTAAATCATCACTGCAGCAGCTGTGACAATATTAGTACAGAATTAAGATAAAGATTATGTTTCAGACAAAGTATGATAAATATATGTATAATATAAACTCCATCTGCTGGCGCTGCATCAAAATCAAGCTTGGTTTATATTGCGCTCAGATGGTTTCTGTTCCTAAATAAACTTGTCTGATTGGATCAGACGAAGTGACACAGAAACCATTAAAGTGGCTTTTCACCAATTTAACACATGAACATCAGCTTGCTAGTCATGGTTTTCACTGCTCGACCTGTGAAAACAAATGTTTAATGTATACTGTGGCTCTGGAGGAGCTTTGTCAGTTCTGGGAAAAGCACATCACTTGGTCAGAAACTCTGCACTGCAAACTGTGAATGTCATGTTTAAAAGATGCTGGCATATACCACTCCTCCTGCGTTCCTGGACTTTGTTCAAATAACAAATTTCTACCTGGGAGTTCTCTAACAACTTTATCCAGCCATGACTACACTGACATTTTAAGCCCATTTTACAAAAAGGCACAAAAATTCCTGAATAGTTACTACAAATCGGGGTAAATGTGGGTGTACGCTCAAAACCAACTAGCTTGTGTGTTGTCTGACCACATTAGATGCTAAGTGTTTACAGCATCTTCTGAATAGCCACACTTAAAAGTGGCTTTAAAAAAAAAGAGGGTTAAAACACCCCGCCACAGCAAGACGCAATGAAAACTGAAATGTCAACAACGGCGCAGACATTTGAGACACTCGACTGTATACACAAAAGGTGACGTGGGTAACTGTGCAAAGACCAAAACAACAGAGCTCCAGAGAAAATCCAACGTACATCTTTCTTACTTCCACACACCTGGCCAGTCACTGAGTGAGGTTGGATCGTCCTTTACTGAGACCCCCAGTTCTGATGCTGCAAAGACTTTGCATCTGATGCCTTAAACACATTTACATCAATAAAACCACAAATTGTGGCATGTTCCACCATGTGTTCACCCAGTGCTTCACCACGTCCACCTTTTTATGCCAAACTAGTGTTTAATATAAATCACTTTATAATTGAAAAGTCATTAGGAATAAAAATTGTAACACTTCATTTTGATGGCATATTTGATTAAATGGTGCATATCTAGGAGGTTTTGAATGATTTATTTATGTACCCGCTCACACCTGAAACTCTTACTCAGCTTTTGGTACAGTACTGTATATGCATACTGAATTGTTGGGTCTTTGCCAGCCTTTTTCCTGGCATATTTCCTTGCATTTGGCACTTTGGGAGTGAGGCTCCTACTAATTAGGAAGCCTTAATCACTGCCTTCTTCCTCTTCTCCCATCCCACTCCTACTCTCACCTCTCCTTTTCTATCCAAGCCCCCCACTCCCACCCCATTTCATCCCATTTTCTATACACCTTATCAGCAGTTTTTCTTTCCAACTCCACCAATGTTGTTTCTCTTGGTCTCTTCCTACACATTTGTCTCATCTCCTCTTTTATCTCTTACTCTCTGTGGGGTTGATGATTGAGTTATCCTGCTGTAATTAATGTGGGAAAGGAGTGAGGATTAAGAAAACAAGTGGCTTCCTCTGCACAGCGGCAGTATGTGAAAGCACCTCCATTAATCAGGCCTCTGTAAATTCAAGTGTATGCATGTGTAATAAGTGAGAATGTGAGAAAGAAAAGATAGAAAAAGGTTTAAGTGCAAGTAGATATCACTCCAACTACAACAGTTTTTTTGTTTTGTTTTTCTGTCTTGCATTTCCTTTCATCATTCTTCTCTCCTGACCTCCCTTTGTTTTTCTCCTTCAGTTTGGCAGAACGGAGGTGATAGACAACACCCTAAACCCCGACTTTGTTAGAAAGTACATCTTGGACTACTTTTTTGAGGAGAAGCAAAACCTTCGCTTCGACTTGTGAGTCCTTGAAGTTATTTTATCAACGGCTGTATCTTCTCTCCTGCTTCTCTCCTGCTTCACTCCTGCTTCACTCCTGCGATGTATTTGTCTGTGCTGACTGAAAGCTCCAGTGTTACAATTATCTTAGTCTTAGCCATTCACCAAACCTAAACTTAGAACCAAGGCACAGCAGGTCTCAGACTTTTCTACACATTTTGAAGCTGTGAGCATGAGGATCTAATAAGACCAGTGTTTAAAGACTTTGCAGGGTGCTGTCTTTATTTTTTGGCTTTTAAAAGATCCCATTCTTTATTTGGCTTGGGGAAGTTAACACTCCCGCCACAACAGCAAAGCTCCTGTTATATTTGTTAACCTCAAATAGTTCCCCAGCCTCAAGTCCTTTTCTTTGTAAAAGTGAAACATGCCAAACAAAATACAAACATAAAAACGTAAATTTAACCTCTGCCTTTCTTTTCTGGGTTTATTTTTTCCATGCTAAGCATCCAAACCATGCAAGAGTTAAGTTACATTTTCTTGAATAATACTTTACTATTGGACTAACTAGCTCTACCCTGCAACAAACAAACAATGTGCAATGCTTTGGCTGTGACACAGTGATTTTTATATTTATTCAAACCATTCACAGTTTTAGAGAAGCAGTCTTTCTCTTTTTCATCAACGCCGTCTTAGTCCAGCAGAATCTCTTCATAACACAAGAGTACTACACAGATCTGTTAGCATCATCATGTTTCCACACATGTATGTGATGTCAGCCACACTTGAAGGATTAAGTGAGAGGTTTTTTTTACATGCTGGGCTGTCTCGGCACTACTTCATTGTTCATCTCTTTCATGGATGCAATTAATTTCCATTTGAAATCAAATTAAAACATTTCCTCAAATCTCTTTCAGCATAATGACACTTAGCACAGCCCACCTTTACAAGTATCTTCTACAGCCATTCAACCACACAGTATAAATATAGCTGCAATTTGTATGATTTGTTTTTTTTCTTTTCATTAAATAAGAGAAACAGTGTATTTGCAATGTTTTTCATACTACTCTTATTCTGTCTACTGTAATTGTGCCTGATTAATCCTATTTCCCTCGCTTTCATTGCTTTGTATCCACAAGTCCATTACTCATTCTAGGAGAACCTGACCCTAGTTGCTCTGGCACACAGATAGTAGGATCTGAACAGAGCCTGTCCTATTTTTCTTTATCTTGGTCAATTTTGAATTTTAAACCTCACTAATGAGGTCCACCCACTGCTTTTTATATCATAAGTTCAAGTTTATCTAAAAGCAAATATTTTCTCAATTATCTGGCTTTCTTTAATTCATCCATCTTGTCTCTCTTCCGTATCTTTCTAATTCGTGCTCTTCTGCTTTTCCCCCTGTCCCACATGTTTGAGTCGCAGTATGTCCTTAAATTTAAAATCAAAAACATTTGATGAGATTAAATGTAGTGAGCTGAGAGCTTATCCCTTCTGTTGTCAGTGATGACAGATTACCTGGGTTTGTTTTAAATCGGTTCTCTAAAGAGCACATCAATCCAAATGTTCCCACTTGGATAAGTGTCTCATATAATTTAGTATAATTTTAGAAATAAAATGGCTTTGCTGCTTTTATTTTGTTCCCTTTAAGGTACGACGTTGACTCCAAAAGCCCAGACCTGTCTAAACATGTGAGTGTATAAACTTATTTTCACCTTGAACCACAGATAAATGAAGGCCAGTCTTGAGTCAATTCCAAATTACAGGCCTGAATGGCTCTGAGAATAAAAAAAAAAAAATCTAAATATAACCAGACAGAATATAGTATTGGACATTTATTTGAGATTTTCTAGAGCTCTTTTATCGGTGGTCTGTTTATGTTTTTCTGTTTCTGCTTGATTTAATTGGATGTTACCTGCAGCATGCTTTTTTCTTGATGAAAAAAAAAGGAATCCCATTTTATTGCCTGAACATAGATGTATCCAAATACATCTTTTTAACATACCGTCTTTGTTTTTAGATGTTAACAGGGATTATCTATGTTGTAATTGTGCTATAAATATGGCATTTATTTCTATAGCGTATAAATGAGAGAGACATATTTAGTGTTTTTATTTGATGCGGTAGTGGCAATGTGCATTGCTGTACATCCTTGCAGAAAAACACAATGCTTTTAGCTGTTAGTTTCCATTTACACAATGTTTGACATAATTATTTTGTTTCACTACTAAAAAGAAATGTTTTTATCCATAAGGCTGGAAACTATGCTGACAGACAAAAAGCATTGATAAAAATCTATTATCAAAATAATCTATTCTGATGATTATTTGATGTATTTGGATGACTGGGATTTGCATTTTTTCATCACTAGCTTTGATGCCACTTCTCATGTGCCCTGGTTTTAACTTCTGGCACAGCATGTTGTGCCCCTCCACTCTCACTTCGCCATCTTTAGCAGTGCTTGGGGTGCTACTTTGGATACTTGGAATAGCATTGTGTACATATTATATGATGTGCTCTTGTTGTTGTTGTTACTGTTGTTGCTGCTGCCACCCAACGTTTCTGGAAGCCTGCAGAACTCAACGTAGGTCCTAGCATCTCTCTCACTTCTGACACTGCATGGCTGCTATCTCGCATTAATGATCCTTCTCTCAAGAGGAAGGATGGGGTCACTGATCAGAATGAAACAACTGAGAGCCAAGCTACAATGTCTTCAGGGCATTTTGAGAACTTTTTGCATGCTTTATTACATTCTACATTTAATTTTAAATGGATAAAATGTCCATCTGTGCTCATCAGTCTACATTCAATGACCCACAATGTCAAAGAGAAAACATGTTTTTAGGAAGGTTTCCATTTTCAAATGATTCCACGGTGGCTCCAGTTTGAAAGGAATACTCAGCAGTTTGGTCTCTCAGAAGTTTGTGTAGCATGCATCTGTAACATAATAAAGAGGGTGAGATCTTCCTCGCAACAGTGAATGGAATTAATGGGCAAAAAAGACCAGAAACTCACTGAAATGAAACTCACTGTAGCCTGGTGTTGAATTATTTAGTGTGACCTGCCTGCCAAGGCCAAAGCTAAGGACACCGAAGAATCAGATCTGTCCTGTCTGAAATTAGCAGTCTTGTGTATCAGCTCAATGCTGGGTGACATAGAAATACTCTGTCCAGTAAAAGACATGATTATAACTGGAACTATGTCACACTGCCACACACGGTTGTGTCATCTTTCATTGTGCTTTTGAATCCCTCCATATTCTCCCATGTGTCTGGTATCTTCCTTCACAGTTCAGTGCTCCCCAACATGTGGGCTATGATTCAAAGTGGACTGTGGGTCATTTCTCAGTAATATTTTGGTCAACTTTGTAAGAAAAAAACAACAACAGACAAACAATAAATCCCTTTACTCTGACATGTAACAAATTTCAGAACAGCGCTGCTCTTTAGATGCACCAGTTTCCACTTCCTGGTGGATAGAATATCATTTCTCATAGCGCCCACATCCCAACTGGGGTTGGAGTTTAAGTTACACTGCCATATTATTCTGAATATACTGTAGTTTTAGTAGCAAGGATAAGTTTCATTTAGTTGTAACTGCTATTGCAATAGCCATGTCTGCATGTCCTTGCTGCAATGCTGCCTTTTTTTGTTATTGAGCCTTAAGCCCGGTTGTACGTAAGATATTTTAATTGTGACATAAAATGGTTGCACAGCTGTTAGCTCCATGTCTTCCCAATCAACTGTAGCCATTTCTTTTTCTCCTTCTCAGTGGTAAAATGGCAGCTGACCCATGACTTTTGATTCAAACCTATTGCAACAATGGGGAACACAACACTGCAGCATATTGAATAAAAGAGGATGAACCGATGTTTGGAACTGGAAACACAATGTAACATCACTACTTATCAAGTGGATAATGTCTGCTAAATGAGGAAGTAGTAATCCTGTGCACAGCAAGTCCTTCAAGTCTTTTGAAGACCCAACATATTTGGGGTCATGTGAAATTATCAACAATATTATCCAGTTAACCTGCTAATCCACGTAGAAGGAATCCAACAAAGAACACCTCCGATGTCTCCGATTAGACCAGTTGGGAACCACTGCAATAAACCATCACTGCCGTGTCATGGTTATGGCAGCATTTGAATTCACTTCAATAAACGCGCCTCACATTTCGCACCACAACTGAAAATGATGTCACATTGTTGAGCAGATCACAGCTGTATTGTCTCTGAAGAAAAAAGGACCACAACTTGTCTTACAGCTTCCGCAGTCTATGCCTAACACTGATTTGTTGTCTTTCTACATTGCATCCTGTCTCCTTCACTCCCGCCCTTTCTTCCTTCTTTCTTCCCTTCTTTCCTTGCAGGACTTTTTGGGCCAGACATTCTGTACTCTTGGGGAGATTGTTGGATCACCAGGCAGTCGACTGGAAAAGCCACTGGGGTGAGTTTCAGCCAATTTTCTTACTGTCTCCGAATGTGATTGAGGAACACCATGGTGTGCAAAGCGTTTAATTACTACAGAAGAAAAATGCTTTGGGTCCAAACACAATGGCCATTCTCAGTTTCACTGTTTTTAAGTTTGCCATTTTTTGTACTGAGAAATGTATAGACATGAATTGTAGTATGTGTTAATACATTTGGTAGAACATGAAGAAGAGGACACAATGCTGAGAGAAAGCAGGGGCACAGAGAGAGTGCAAGTATTTAGAAGTGAAATGATAGGAGGAAGAGGAGGAAGAAGAGGCACAGGGGTAATTTAGAAAGAGATGAGAGGGAAAGATATTAATCAGACAAAGGGGAAGAGAAAGGGAGGTGGAGACAACACATGGTACAGATGTTTTCCACAGATAATTATTGCCATTAAAGAAAAGGCTGAAGCTCAGCTCAAAATTGCCCAAATTACTGGTTGTCACCTCAGATTGTGCTCTCACGTTGGCTGAGAAAAATGTAGTGTTAATGTGGAAGGTATCCTGTAATCTGTTGTGATACATCTATCAGTGGTCATCAGAAGTCTGCTGGGCTCTCATGTAATTCAGATAGCACTGTAGCACTCAGTGAGATTGGCTGGTTCTTTGATCTGAATATGTTACCTTGGAGAACATTAAAAAGAGTTTTGAATACTGATATTCAACTTTGAATTGTATGATGCTTTACTGCCACATTCTAGGATTGGTCAACATTTGACTCATCCAACAGTAGTTTTGGAACAGAGGCCACAGTCTCATTGGTACTGATGCACTCATTGACCTGCTGATTGACTAGTTTTGTATTTATTAACATGTATTACATGTTTAACACATAATATTGGGAGTTGTATAAGAGAAAGCACATAGAGGATGCCTTCATTTTTTTGTAGAACTTAATGTTTCTGGGTAACTAGAGGGCACAGACGCTTGCAGAGGAGCCAGTATGCAGCTTTTAATGCATCTCTAAAATTTCAGTTATACCACATGTATCTGCTGTCCTGTGTAAAAGCCACGTATCTCCAAAACGTTCATACATGATTTTTATTTGGTTAGTAAAACAATGTCCAGTGTAGTGAGATTGTGTTAGCATGTTTAAAATAGAAAAAGGTTATTTTTTAATTTTTTGATTCTTGCTCATTTTATTTGGGTTTTTGCATTTCTGGTCTTGTTGTTTTCAGTATATGTGCCATTTTGTGACATTTGTCTGTAGTGGCCATTTAAACAACATTTAATGGACATTTGTACATACAGTATATTTGATGTTTTGACTTTGTTGTCAGTGAGTGGCATGCTCTATAGGCTGTGTTTCTCATACAGTATATGCAGTAAGAATTAAACTTGGTCATAAACGTTAGGATGCTGTGCTGTATGTTATCATAATATACAGTATACTAAAAATGCTTGTTCCCACAGCACACCTCTCTCTGTCTGTGTGTTTTCCTTATAGTGCATGGACTACTGATGTTGATTACTTAAGAAACTAGCATGGCAAATATACTGTAAGTGTGCCCTACAGTAATTCTCTATAATGAGAGGCCAGACCTTCATAATGTCATAACAAGTTTAATATCAAACCATTTCTTTCTGAACTGAGGATTTATAAGGCATAGTTAGAGAAGGGAATAGAACTCCTACCAAACTGTTCATTTTTGATTTGAGATACTCTGCAGATGTGAGATAACACAACTACTACTCAAATGTTTTTCTTAAGACAGCCTTTCATATTTCTTTTAAGGGTACTAAATAAAACTCTCCCCTGCAGTGAAACCCAAAGCCTCTGCAACCAAAATTTGAAAAAGCTCTACAGTTCACTTTCCTTTGTAATAACTACCAAACTATCACAATTTTTGGTGTAGCACGGAGACATTATGCGATCAGTTTGTTTCACTTTATGGCATTTAATGTCTGATCATTCTGGGATGTAGTTTGTGATTGTTTCGGTGGGCTAACATGGGCTTATGAATCAGAAATTGCAGGTGTATTTGGATTAGTGCAGTTCTGGTCTTACACAAAAGATGAATGTGGATACGGTTTTGGTGAATGTGTAAATTCAGGACTTGAAATTAATGCGCATGTGACTAAAACTGGCAATCTGTGGATCGCTGGAGAGGATGCGCAGCAGCTTTGTTTCATCCTCTGTGGGGGAGTCACTGAGGAGGAGGAGGAATAGCGAGAAGCAAACAGAAGCCCACCGAGCACACACACATACGCACACAGTGATGCATTGCCCTGGTAGATATGCTACCCGGTGGAGTTTGTTTTTATGTTTCTGTGGTAATGAAGACTGAGTCATATTCCTTTGCTTGGAAATGTCAAGACATTTGTCCAAGTTGTGCTGAGCCAATAGGAGAAGATTTGTTTGTTTTTCATGTTTGTCTCAGCCAGTCCTCTGCTTTGCTTTCCACCTGCGCACACAATACATGACACGGAATAAATCTTGGAAGTGAGTGAGGAGTGTTTTGGCAGCATTAGGGTGTTGAGCTATCTGTCTGTCTGCTGGTCCCTGCATCCTAAATGTAAGCATTTATCACAAATACACAACAACCTGGTTCTTTCTTTACAAATGACCCTGTAACATACAGTACAGCGCATCAAAGGAGATACTGGTAAGGTATATTTTAAATTTAAATTTTTATTGCTGACATAATGCTGTCTTTCAATTATCTCTTACCAATTAGTCATACAAACACACTGAGACATATACATTTTATTAAGTGATTACATAAATCCTGTGCCTTGGTTAAATGGCACATGAATGCATGAGGTTGTATTTTATTCTTGTCTGTTGTTCTCTCCTTTTTCATGGCTAATTGTAATGCCTTTAATCTTCCCGAAAGTGGCGCTTGTTTAATTAGAGCAACCATTGCGGTTTTCATAATGGAAAAAAGGCTCCTGAAAGTAAAGTGGGAGAGAGAGAGGAAGAAAAAAGGTGATATCAATGACCATTCAGAGAATGGTTGTGTGTCTGAGGCTCATGGACACCCAGGCAGAGACGGAAACACTGACAACAATAAGGACACTTATAACCGCTCATCCTGTAATTGCTTGTCTAATTATACACAACACGAGTCTCTGGGAAATGGATGAAAAGAGGCACTAGTGTACAAGTTAAGAAGCAGAAGACAGGGGACAATATTCAGTAAAACAATAAAAATGAAGAACATTCATATTAGCATTTTTCTGGCTAACTGCCCACACACGTGAATGACACAAAAACTGTCGTGACATGACTTAATGGCATTTATTGAGCCCAAACTCATGATGATACTGATTAGTGTTGGTGTTTGTATACACTCATGTGAATTAATTGTATGTAAGGCACAGAGTAATAAACACCGACTAGTAATAAATGTCTCAGACTGTTTAGCCTCAAAGCCTCGCCGGTCTTTGTTTACTGTACTGTATTATTTACAGATTCCCTTTGAGGCCACCTGAACACAAGGAAAACACACACAAACACCAGAGAGATTATTTTAGTATACATGCCAACGAGTGCAAATAGGCTGATCTGTGTTGCGCTCTCACGTGGCACCACCTATGTGCGGGGGCAGGGTGGTCCTGAACCAAAAGCAGTGACTCATAAAATTCACACTGATTTAAAATAAACCCTGAAAGGTATAATGGTACACTAACAATGTTTTCTATTGTAGTAATTTCACAAATGTTGCTCAGTGCCAGCTCTTAAAAAAGTCCAGCCAAGCAATCTGTCTTAGGCCTGAGCGAGCATCAGTTTCCTTGGCAACATCAGTTACAGTCTTATTCAGTCAGCAGGTGTAGTGTGAGACAATCATAATGAACAGTCATTACACTGTCATTGGTTGTTTGATTGGAAAATCCTGACCTTCACTCATTCTGCACACAGTCACAAGTTTAAAAGTTGATGATATTATTTCAAAAAGTTTATATTTTTAAGACCATTGTACCTTTGCAACATAATTCTTCCTGACAACTGAACCTTAATCCAGGACATTTTCATGCTGGGTATTCTCCACGTCAAAGCAGAAAGCACACATGTAATTAATATCATAATGATTATTCCATTTAGTTGATCCAGTTTTTGGGGCCCTGAATTGTAGCATGCTGGTCAAACTGTGAAACACTCTACACTGACTATCAGACCTCCAGTGTTATCCAGTGTTTTCTAATTGTAATATGATGCTTTTTTAAATGTAAGGATTTTTATGACCTGATGCAAGATGAGACATGTCCATTTTCTAAAACGTTAATCAAACTAATTCATAGACTGTGTGCGTTTGTGTGTGTGTCTGTGTTCTTCAAAAAATCAGAAAAACAGCGCTTCCGCCACACAAGACATGTGTTTCATCTGAACATCAAAGGCGCTCTGCTCCTTTATGATTGATGCTTGCTTCAGATTTTACACTGCTCTCTTACCTCAGGCCTTAAATGCGTACTTTATTGATGATGATCTTGTCATTTACATTTACATTAAAAAAGATTTAAAACAGACAATGCAGTGAAAACTAGCTGCATATGTTATTTTATTTTTCTCTTTAATATTTTGGAACATCCTGGAAAAAAGTAGATGTGTTAAATACAGTATATTAAAAAAAAATCCCCACTCGTGGGGCAGTCTTTTTATTCCTTCCTTCAAGCTCGGGTCCTCTACCAGAGGCCTGGGAGCTTGAGGGTCCTGCGCAGTATCTTAGCTGTTCCTAGGACTGCACTCTTCTGGACAGAGATCTCAGATGTTGTTCCTGGGATCTGTTGAGCCACTCTCCCAGTTTGGGGGTCACAGCCCCC